CTGTGGGGACATTTGGACATAGATCTCTTTTCCACCAAGAGAAACAATGTGTTCAAAAGGTTCTGCTCCAGGGCGGGAATAGGACCGGGATCGATGGGAGATGCCCTTATGATTACATGGACAAATCTCAGATTCTACGCATTCCCACCTATTCCTCTGCTGACCAAAGCCATCTCGAAAATTGTGCACGACGATGCCATGGGGATACTCATAGCACCTTGGTGGCCTCGTCAGGCGTGGTTCTCCACTCTCCTTCGGATCTCGAAGGGCAATTTCCTTTGACTTCCACCCAACAATACGGGTTCGTCCATCACCCGGACCTGTCATCATTGAACCTCCCTGCGTGAAAGATTCATTGACTTAAGGGACTGTTTCGGAACAGAGATCTAATAGATCACTAGGTACCTCAACTCATGATCAGTCGGACCCTCTCACTGATTTGGTACCAACGGGAATATTGTCGGGACTGAGTTCTTTGGATCTGAAGGTTGTACGGATTCTCGAGTCTGCACTAAGACCGTCCACCCGAAAGTCCTACACGGCGAAGTGGCATCGTTTTTCATCCTTTGCGGAATCTATCTTGTTTAACCCGCTTACGGCGTCGGTTGAGAACATTCTTCAATTTTTGCTGCACCTGCATCGCTCGGGACTGAAACCCTCCTCAATTAAGGTTTATGCAGCTGCAGTTTCACATTATTGTGGTATAGTACAAGGGCTGTTGGTGTTTTCACAGCCGCTTATTCAGAAATTTCTTAAAGGCCTGCAGAATCTACACCCGTCCATTCGGCCATTTATGCCGACGTGGAGTCTCTCAGTTGTCCTACAGGCGCTTACAAAACCACCATTCGAACCGTTAGCCACTGTCGATTTATGCCTTGTTTCATGGAAAACGGATTTTTTAGTTGCAGTTACTTCAGCTCAGAGCCAGTGAACTTTGTGCTCTTCGAATCGATCCACCTTATTTAAACTTCCATAAGGAAAAGGTGGTCCTGAGGATGGACCCTAATTTTTTGCCTAAAGTTGCCACACCGTTTCACCTGAACCAAGAACTTGTGCTGCCTGCCTTTTTCCCGTCGCCGTCAAACCTGGTCGAGAGGTCCTTGCACACCTTAGATGTTAGATGATGCCTGGCTTTTTATAGGTCGCGCACGGAGTCTGTTTGATGTTCCAATAATCTTTTTGTAAAGTATTCTGAGCGAGGCCAAGGATCGCCTGTTTCGTCTCAGAGGCTGTCGAAATGGATCATTCAAACCATTTCGTTGGCGTACCAACTCTCAAAGCTGGACTTACCTGTTGTTCCAAGGGGCCATCCCACGAGAGCGGTCTCAGCTTCCTCAGCGTTCGCTGCGGGTGTCCTGATCCAGGATGTCTGTAAGGCAGCAACTTGGGCTACGCCTTGTACTTTCACGAAGCACTATCGTCTTGATGTGCGTGCCAGACGAGACTGTTCATTCAGGAGGGCTGTTCTTTCTGCCGTCCTTCAATAGCGACACCTCCTGCCACCATTTCTGGTAAGCTTGCTATTCACCCGTATGTGTGATGCACAGGGGCCACGATAAAGAAAAGCAGGTTGCTTACCTGTAACTGATGTTCTTCGAGTGGCCATCTGTGCAGTCACACAACCCACCCGCCGACCCCGCTTGGTGTTGGTGAGTGGTTTCGTTGTCGGTACCATATCGTACTGCTTCGGTACCTCATACTTGTAACGTTGGTACCGAAGGGGACTGTGTTGGTACATACTAGGTTGTTATGCCGTCTTATTCCATGGGGTGGTGAACTTACAGTCTCCAAAGACTGGAGAAAATGGCAGACACTCTGTTCTATATATACTACTGAGGGGAGGGGGAGTGGAGTTTTTCCCACCAAAACCGTTAGCTTTCAATCTTTCCGGCCTAGGCACTGCGCAGGCACAGCACCCATATGTGTGACTGCACAGATGACCACTCGAAGAACATCAGTTACAGGTAAGCAACCTGCTTTTTTACTGGAATTGATGTTCTTCGAGTGGCCATCTGTGCAGTCACACAACCCACCCGCCGACCCCGCTTGGTGTTGGTGAGTGGTTTCGTTGTCGGTACCATATCGTACTGCTTCGGTACCTCATACTTGTAACGTTGGTACCGAAGGGGACTGTGTTGGTACATACTAGGTTGTTATGCCGTCTTATTCCATGGGGTGGTGAACTTACAGTCTCCAAAGACTGGAGAAAATGGCAGACACTCTGTTCTATATATACTACTGAGGGGAGGGGGAGTGGAGTTTTTCCCACCAAAACCGTTAGCTTTCAATCTTTCCGGCCTAGGCACTGCGCAGGCACAGCACCCATATGTGTGACTGCACAGATGACCACTCGAAGAACATCAGTTACAGGTAAGCAACCTGCTTTTTTACTGGAATTGATGTTTTATTATTGAATTGGTTATTATGTAGTTTTATTTATTGTTTATTTATTTTATTGTGTCAACCATCCAGAGAGCCAGGTGGCTATTGTGATGGTATACAAAAGCATTAAATAAATTAAAATAAATAAATAACCAGTTGAGCCCCACTGAGTTACTGATGAGGAGCAGCTACTGGGACTTGTTGTATGGCGCGATTTTACGGACGAGACCAGAGACTGGTTGGAATTATCGAGAGAGATTTATTTACCTGCAGGGACCAAGCACTCATGGGAGTGTGGTGGCGAGCAGAGGGAAGACATTGATTTTATACTCTTTTACACTTATGCTTGAATGACAGCGAACAATAGGGGAACAATAGGGGGACAATAGGAGAAAGCACATTGCACTTTTATCATGCTAAAGCAAGCAAGCGTGGGTACAAGGGCATAACGTCTGCAGTGATACTGGTAATGCTGGAGCGTAGCCTGCTTTGTTGTCAGCTTTGCGTAGCGTGCACATCCGTGTTCGTGTACTTGTTCTCATGCGAACAGGACACCCTGATCATGCTTTTTACTCGTGATGAGCCATGCCCTGGCTACGTGCTTGATTATGAGGGGGGTTACAACAGGACTCTTTAGCTTAGAAAAAAAGACATGATAGAAGAAGGAAGATGTTAATAGAGATGTTCAAAATTATGCATGGTGTAGAGAAAGTGGAGAGAGGGACATTTTTCTTCCTTTCCCACACTAGGACCTGGGATCATCCCATAAAGCTGATTTAGGAGGTTTCGGACAGATGAAAGGAAGTACTTCTTCACACAAATTATAGTTAAAGTATTGAACTCACTCCATGGGAATGGGAATGGCCATCTATTCAAATGGCTTTAAAAGGAGACTAGACAAATTCATGGAGGAGGAAGGGATCAGTGCCTTCTAGCCTTGCTGGCTATGTGCTGCTCCTTGACAGAGGTGGCATGGCTGCATGCACCAGTTGCTGAGGAGCTTGGGCAATAGGAGGTCTTGCACCCATCCTGCTTGAGGACTCCTGTGGACAGCTGGTTTGCCACCATGTGTACAGAGTGCTGGACTGGATGGACTTTTGGTCTGATCCAGCATAGTTTTCTTATGTCTTATACATAGATTGCCTCAAGTACACACATCCAAAATACAGATATGGAATCAGGCTGCAGTTCCACTGGCGTTAAATACATTTAAATCTGACTCAGTGGGAAAGACTTAAGCATATGCTTATTTCTGTTAAAATCTGTTTGACCTAAAAGTTATTACCTTTGACCTGCCCATGTCAATAGTGAGTAACTTGAGATTCACATAAATTCTATGTTCTGATGTTAAATTGTAGAGCTTTTTCTCTGTAAGATATATCATTAGTGTAATTAGGATATTGGGGGCAGGGGGTAAAGCTCAGAAACCAGTTGCTAAAAATGTTCTAAAGAACTTCCTTTTTAAAAAGCCGTAATATTAATGTCACTGACCTGGATCTGTAATGCACATGGCTCTCTTTGAAATGTTTCTTTTACTAATGTGCACCTTGGACACCCAGGGAACTTAAATGTTTTGCAACTTGAATGTTCTAGATAAAAGTTTTTTAAACCAGTGAGATAATTGAGAATTCTGCTGTTTGGGGGGGGGGGGGGGAGTCTGCTAGCTTGTTAAATGGAGCACAACTGTGGCTTTATACTCAAAGAATAAAATGTTTTAATGTTAAATGTATTTTAGAGAACATGATAAAAGCATGAGATTAAAATGCTTACTGATTAAAGCCTATTTGAAAATCTGTGTGGTGGTTCCAGTAGCCCTAGTTTTAACTATATTGCATATCTGCAAAATCAGCCAGAAGAAAGAAAATAACATTAATTTTCATCATTTTCACTGCATTATTGTTATCTGTTTTTGGTTCAATTTGCTGATCACCAGCCTGATACCATTTGATGAAGGTTATCTTAATAAATACATGCATTGGCTACATCTCACATCCAAAGGCACAAGAATAAGAGATGTCTGACAGAGATGTGTCTCACTTGTCAGAATGGCCCTCAATAAAGAACATTACAATGGCAGAAGAGTGACCAGCCCACTCTGCCTACGTGACCTACTTTACCAGGGACCACAGTTTACGGAGTAGTTGCATTGGCAGATTAACAGAAGAAAGCACCTTCTGCTACTATTAAAAAAAAAACAACTTTCTGTCTCTCAAACTTGTTCCATTGTTCCACACAGAATCACAGAGCAACAGATTGGAAGGGTCCACTAAGGCTTTCAGGTCCAACCACCTGGTCAATGCAGGTTTTCAAGTTAAAGCATGCCTGACAGAGAGTCAACTAGCTACATCATGGATGCCTCCAGTATGGGAGGGCCCAAGACCAGTCTAGGCAATTTGTTCCATTGTTGTAATTGTGTGTGAACTGCACTTCTAAAGTGAAACAAAAGCAATAGATGACCTATATATCGCACCGTTTAATAATTGCCCATTTACTGATATAGGAACTGGCATTGCATTGGTTCGTTACATTTTCAGCTTATTTCAGTCAGCGATTTTTTGGGCAGTATATGCTGGCCTTTTAATGTCAGAACATTGTTTTGATTCTATTCTAGGAGAGGATGCAGCAAGTAAGGTGGAATTCTCTAGGCAGTGGATTCCAAAGAACAAACCAGAGCACTATGAAGTAGTAGTCCCTTATTTGCTGACTGGAGAAAAATGGAAACCAATAAAGAATATTTATTCACAGGTATGTCTTCATTTGACTGTTCATGGTAACATAGCTTCACTAAATATAGTGCAGCTGCATGCATTATTGTAGTAACTATCTATGGTCTTCTTACTCTATGATTCTACACAACACATTACCCATATTAGACTATGAATTGCTTAAATAAAAGAAATCACACAGTATTTTTTCTTCAGAAATCCATTCAGGGGGTTTGTGTGTTTTGACTCATGATTTAGTTTTTCTCCCATCAGGCTAGTTCATCTAGTTCAGGGCTTTAGAAACTCTTTTATAAGCTTAACTAAAAGACAATATTGAGGCTTCTTGGTTACTTTTTCATCTTCATAATCTGCATGAAGATTGGGGTGGGAAATGCAGATGGGATTGCTATTTGTTTTTGTTTTGTGTGATCCAAAAGGCAGTGATCTATTAATTATAGAGTTAAGCAGAAGCTTGCTGAAAATAAAATAGGTAAACTAGCAAATAACCAGCATTTCTTCCTACTGATGTCAGCAGTTGCAAAAGCAAATATTAGTCAGTTGTACCCTTTATAGAGTCAGGACTCCTTGAAGCACAATCTTTTGTACATTTGCTGAGATGTAATCCCCAATGCACTCAACAGAAATTATGCTCAGATAAGTGTAAGATTGCAGCCTTAACAGAGCAATTTCTTGTTATACTCTTTTGTTTTAGTAGACAAGTCTTATGGTATGTATACCTATATTGCATCTTTTCTTTTTGAAAACAATTTCAATGTTGCCTTTATTAATATTTTTCCAACATGAAAGATAAAAGAAATAATGGCCATCTTTTTTTAAAATACCAGCAATAACCTATGGGATATTTTTACAGATCTTAAGCAAGCTAACACTGACATCTTATATGTTAGGTATCTACCCAATTCTATTTTTAGGTATTTAATTAGATACAGATGGTCTTCTGTTACATTACTTTAGAGATTTTTAGATTATTGACTGCAGTTAGTTGAAGGGGTTGCAGCACAGGACCTTTCAGAAAGCAATGATAAAGGGATCTATATCATTGATTTGTTTCCCAGACTGATTGCAGTTCAGATGAATATTAAAAAAAGATTTGTGGCGTGCTGCAGAGATCTTGTGGAATATTGGTGCTTCCTTTTCATGGACACTGCAGGAAGCCTTAATATAAAAATGATTAAGTTCAAGCTATAGTTAAATTAACCATGTTAAAGAGGCAGAGAGAAAAAGAATTACATAATGAGCATCACGCGTTATTGATCGAAAGCAAGGAAGTTAGTAATTTGGCTGTTTAGGTCTCTGCAATTCTTTAGCAAGTCTTTAGCATTAGGTAATTTTTGAGATCCTCCAAAGATCTCAGTAAGCAAAATACTTTTCATTTTCTCTGCACTGCTCTATAATCTATACTAGTGGTGGCGAACCTATGGCACGCATGCCACAGTGGGCACACAGAGCACTCTCTGTCGGCATGCGAGCCAAGTCAGCCCAGCATCGCCTCAGCAGCCGAGCATCAGATAACAGCACAAATAGGGGCCATGTGCATGCTCAGAAAGGAGCAGTGGCACCAGATGATGACATCATGAGCTGCAACTCATTAGCTGCGAACTTGTCCGAGTTTCACATGGCTGGTCAGTGTGCTGCCAAGGACTGGTTATGAGTTTTAATACATTCATTTTTTATTAACACAAGATTTTAGCTTTGAATTTTCTTTTGAAAAATTGAAATTTAATATCTAAGATTTAGCAAAGAGATGTTCTAATTAAGAGACTGAGATTCTTTTAATGTTGTGCTGGCATATTTGAATCTGCAGCATCATATTTAGTTGTTTGTGAAGAATTTATGAAAATAAGATATATATATTTGCTTGGACTGGCTGTGATTTTAGCAGAAGCCCCCACAAGGTAGGAAATGCACTCAGATGCCTTTTTCAGAGCAGGCCAAAAGCTAGTGGTCAGTGGAACCAGCACACATACAACAGCAAAGATCACACTGATTGTGCAAAAGCTCGCCAAACTTTTACCTTTCAAGAAAAAGCTGTTTGTATCATTGAAAGCTGTGTTATTGTGTTTTTCTTTTAAGACAAAAGATGTTAATGTATGAGTTGCTTTTCCTAAACTAAAACCTCAGTATTCAGGTTTTATTGCAGTGTTGGCACTTTGCAATAAATAAATGGGTTTTGGGTTGCCGTTTGGGCACTCGGTCTATAAAAGGTTCGCCATTACTGGTCTAGACTGATAATGAAAGTGTATTGCTTTTCATATTTTGCGTTCAGTGACACCATTGTTATGTTATCTCTTGTTGTAATAGCCTGTCTGGCTGTGGGTCAGTGGCAGAGCACACACTTGCATGCAGAAGCTCCCAGTTTCAATCCGCAACCTCTCCAGGTAGGGCTGGAAAAATCCCTGCTTGAAACCCTGAAAACTGCTGGCCAGTGTCCACAATACTCAGCTAGGAAGGTAACGAGCTCACTGAATACAAGGCAGCTTCCTATGTTGACTGGGGATGAGAATACGTAAGACCAAACCTTATCAGAAGTGTACCTTCCTAATCAGGGAGGTCTTTTTTGTTGTTGTTTTTGACAAATGAAGCCCCATGTAGTTACTCCCCTGCAGAGGAAGGCAGAACGCACTCCAACGGAGCAAAGCTCAGGGAGCCAAGGTTCCGTTTGGATGCCAGGAAGCACTTCCTGACAGTCAGGACCCCGAGGGTGTGGAATGGGCTTCCACAAGAGGTCGTTGAGGCCCCATCGGTGCGGGTGTTCAAGGATAGGCTGGATGTCCACATGGTGGGCATGTCGTGAGCGGAGCCGGCTGGTGCCGGAGGTCAGACTAGATGGCCCGGGAGACCCCTTCTGACTCGCGCTGTTTTCTATGTTTCTATGTTACTTGAAAGATGAGCAAAGTGAAGATTCAAATTAAGGCTGTATGCCCTTCCACAGTGTAGATACCTTTCCTCAAGGTTGCAATTTGGTCTAACAAGGGCAGGAGAGGAGCAGATCCTGCACATATGTCTATTCTAACTTGCAGCTTAGAAAAGCAACTTTTGAAAGGAAATGGCCCATGTTTGGTCTTCTGCAAATATTTATCATATTACAACAAATTCTCACATACGTACATTTATGTAAGCCTGAAAAACACGTTTTCCCTGTTTATTACACTTGTCCTGAAGATGAAAAATTACATGAATTTTGTTGTAAGACATGATAGTAATTTTAACATAAGCATAAGTACTTTTCTAAGATAATTCAGAATATTATGGGAGCATTCCAATTTACTTGCAGCCCAGGGCTTGTCCAAGTTAAGCATTACTTTGTAGACTCTACTCCTTCATCATAAGGAACTAAACATCTTGGTATCATTGTCTTGTGAAAAGATACTTGCCGCAAACAAAGTTTGTAATTCTACCTGGGAAAAGAGTTACCAAGCCCCAGGGATTTTGCAGTATAAGCACCAGATCAAGAACATTACTAGCTGTATTGCTGAAGCAAGTGGCGCTTGTAAATCCTCAAAGCTAGTAAGACCTGGGGAAAGAAGGCTAGCAACCCTTAATGAATACGAACTAAAAGGCTGCAAAGTGAGTGTATCAATGATTTCTGCATGTGACCCCTCTGTGAACCCATGCTTAAGTACAAGAGAGTAAGATAAGTAATACATGTAGAATGCAAAAAAGGCCCGGGTTGGTCAAAATGTCATATTTTTTGAAATCCAGTCCATTACATTACCTTGTAATTTAAGATTTGTCTTTTCCTGTTCAAAAGCCACCTTTAAGGACTACAGTCCAAAGAGAGGGTAAATAATTTAAATAAATTAGTAGAAATAAGACCTGTCATACAGCAGCTAAAAACGTTCTATTGTTACCTGCCCACAAGGCCCCCATCTCTATGTTATTCTGTAAATCAAAGTGCCGACTGCAAGTTGCCCTCCATCTTTATTTCTGCACAGTGCCTCTGAACTCCACATGGCCCATGAGGTAATCTTGGGAAATGAAGATGGTGACTAGCTGAATGACACCACTTTGCAGCACATTGGGCCACCTAAAACATAATCACCAAAGGGTTGCCAGTGATTTCCCCCCATTCTCTCTGCAAAAAGCTTGTGTGGTTTAAAGTGTCTGTTCTGTATAAGTGCTGGTATAAAATTTGAAGTCTTTGTCATTATCTTATCAGTTGTTCTGTTTGACAAATTTCTAGTTAATGGAGCACCTGCAAACTGACTTTGGCCTAATTTCGAAACAGTTTAGGAGAGTGTTTTAGGGAGCTTCCCAATGTGATGTGTCTAGTGCAGGGGTCAGCAGCCCACGGCTCCGGAGCCGCATGTGGCTCTTTCATCCCTCTGCTGCGGCTCCCTGTCACTCAAAATATGCATCACAACCGCCAATGTGCGACACCCGCTAGCACATGATTTATTGAGCTTCTCGACCCCCCGGTAGGCCAACCATGGATAAATCCAAGAAAAGAAAAGTTTCAGAAGAAAACAGAATGTTTAATGGTACGTGGGCAGATTCATTTGCTTTCAATGCTGACAAGACTGGTTTACCAGAATGCTTAATATGTGGTGAGAAATTGGCAAACAACAAAAAGTTGACTGTTGCAAGACATTTCCAGAATAAACACACAGCCTTTGCTGAAAAATAACCGGATGGAGATGAGAGAAAAAAAGCCATTTCGGAACTGATACGGAAGGTTGATCTGAGCAAAAATCATTTCAAGAAGTGGATCAAGTCTGCAAATTCAACTACATATGCTAGTTTTGTGGCCGCTCAGGAAATAGTCAGGCACGGGAAGCCGTTCACAGATGAAGATTATAGAAAAGAATCATTCATTGATTTCATAAATGAAATCACACTATAGTTTTTTATACATAGCAGAAAGGTAAAAAATGATATATGCAGTGTTATCTTCATTTTAGATGTCAAAAGGGTTTTGTGGCTCCCATTGTTTTCTTTTCTGTGGGAAACAGGTCCAAACGGTCTTTGAATGTTTAAGATTGCCGACCCCTGGTCTAGTGGTACCAGTCTAAAGACATA